ATCACTTAGTAATAATTATTATAATTATAATTTTATTAAATTTTATTGATAATTTTTATATCTTAATTAGATTATAAAAAGAATAAAAGATATATATGATTTCAATATGATAGCAGTTAAGAAAGTAATTTTTCATATCTTTAAAATAAATATCTTATCTTCTATTAATAATTAAAAAAATTTCAAGAAAATTTCTAAATAAAAAATATTATTAAAAGTGGCTGAATATTATAATAAGTTATTTTAACTTGAAAATAATAGTACTAGTAATATTAATTATATTACTTGCATTATCTTTTCATCTCTTCATGAAAAATCACTATCTATTAGCTTATGTATATATATTGCAAGTATATATAATATTATACTAAATCTAAATTATCTATTAATTGAAATAAGTAAAACTTTATTATAATATCATATAGATAAATATAAAGTAAGCTTTTATTTTATACTATATATAATCTTTTGATAACTAATATTAATTTTCTTTTAGAAAATATATCAAAAAAATATAAATTTAATATATAAAGACTTAATAAATATTATTAAAAATAAGAGATTTGATAAAAAAATAGATTAGAACTTGAAAATAATAAAGATAATAATATAAGTAATAATACTATCCAACAAGAAGTATATAATTTTCATGTAGTAAATAACTTATTTATAAAGAGTTAAAATAAAAAATATTGATTAATTAGTTATGAATTATTAGAATTATATTTAAAGTAATATATTTATTAAATAGATTTTTATTTTAATAATAAAAAATATTCTTGAATTTAATAATAAAAATTATTAAATAATAATATTTAATAAAATAAGTTAATTTAACAAATTTATATTATTAAATAATATATATTGATAACTCTGATATATATTAATATATATCAAATATTTATCTCAATAATAAAAATTGATATAAATCATCCTAAAAAATTTTTTGATAATTTGAATAAAGAGATCAATATTTCTTACTATAAATTAATAAACTTCTGAACTTCTTTAAAAATACTAAATACTTTATTATTATGAATCTTGCTAGCAGATTTTATTAGATGAAAATATATCCAAGAGATAGAGAAAAGACTGCATTTATCATTAATAAAAATCTATTTTACTTTAATATTATACTATTTAAACTTATTAATATTTTAACAATATTTCAAAAATTGATAAATAAAATCTTTAAAAAATATATTAGAAAGTTCATCATTATATATCTTGATAATATTACTATATATTTTAAAATCTGAAAAAAATATTTAGTTCATATATAAAAGACTTTAAAAAAATATTAGCAAACAAATTTGAAGCTTTAACTAAATAAATATATTTTTAAAAAAAACTAATTATTTTTTTTAGGATATATTATTAAAAAAGATAATATTCATTCTGATCTAGCTAAAATAAAAAAGATATAAAAATTTTTAATATTTATCAATATCATTTTATTAAGAAAATTTATTAGACTTGCTTTTTATTATAGAAGATTCATAAAAAACTTTGTCAAAATAGCAGTCTCTCTTTATAGATTATTCAAAAAAAATAAAGAATTTAGATAAACAAAAAAATAACAGAAAGCTTTTGAGTTACTTAAAAAATATTTAATATTACTCTTAATTATTATCTATTCAGACTTTATAAAGCTCTTTATTCTTTTTACTGATACTTCTAAACTTGTATTAGATATTATACTAGAATAATATAATAGTGAAAAGAAAAAATATATTATTACATATACCAGCAAAAGAGTTAGTAAGAAAGAAAGTAAATATAATATAATAGAGTTAGAATATTTTAAAGTAATTTAAATAATTAAACTATTTAGATCTTATCTATTCTCTAATATTCTATTCATATTAATCATTAATTATTCAGTACTCAAGTAATTAATCAATAAATCAAATTCTTCTGAAAGACTTGTATACTAAATAATAATCTTATGTGAATATAATTTTAAAGTTAAATATAAATTTAATAGAATTTACTTAAATATTAATTCACTTTTTAGAATATTATCTCCACTTAAAAAAGAAAATAATAAAACATAAATCTGGATAACTGTATAATTATCTTAATATGCTAATAATACTTAATGAATTCTTAAAAAAAATGAAAATAACTATTAGCAGAATTAAAGAAATATTTTATATAAAATAATAAACTATATAAAAAAATAAATAGGATATTAATTATTCATTATTAGTTATAAAATCAACAAAAGTAAAATTAGTTCTTTATAATAACTATTCAAATATTATCTTTAATTATTTCAGAATTAAAACTATCTATAATTAAATAATAAGAAACTATTATTAATTTCAAATATAGAAATATAGATATATATATTAAAGTCTATAATATATACTAATAAAAAAAAATAATTATATAAGAATAATAAGATAATGCTAATTTAAATAAATATATTTTTTAAAAAATTAGAATTGATTTAATAGAATTTCTTTTAGTAATTAGTAATAGAAATTATTATATTATAATTATTATAGATTATCTAATCAAATAGACTAAAGCAAGATCTATTACAGATACTTTTACAATTTCAATTATTCTATTTTTTTATAAAGATATAGTGATAAGATATAGATTTTTAAAAGAAAGTATATTTAATTCTATAAGAAAGATTAGGATCATTATTTATCTTCAGTTTTATTTGCTTATAGAATAATAAATCAAAATATAACTTTATTTGAACCTTTTTAATTAGTATATAATTAGTAAGCAATTGTATTATTAGATATTAAATTAAAAGATTTTGATAATCTTACTTTTAAAAAAGCTTTAGTTAAAAGAATATGTAAACTAATTGACAAACTAGAGATTACATGAGAACTAGCTCTTAGTAATATTCAAGAAAAATAGTTAAAATAAAAAGAATAATATGACAAGAAATAAAAATAATAGTTTTTCAGATAGAATAAAAAATATTAATAAAATAAATAAAAACTTAGTATTAATATTATAATAAATTTAATTAAAAATAGAAAGAATCATTCTATATTTATGAAGTTTATAATAAAGAAGCCTATAAACTTAGAAATAAAGATGAAAAAGTCTTAAAGAATTTATATAATAATGATTACTTAAAGTTATATATTGAGTTTAATAATTTGGAACTAATAATTATTATTAATAATAATTAAAAGATTTATGAAGTAAATCTCTTAAAGTCAAAAATCTTATAATCAATTATCTATTTATATAATACAGTAAATATGGTATAGCATAACAACATGTGATATAGTAATCACTAATTACTACTAAATTAGAAAATAAGAAATTTATATTAATTAATTTTATTTATTATTAATTCTATTTTTAATTTATATTATTACTTATTCTTTTATTAATTTAGTTAAGTATGTCATATTTAATTTATAATTTTATTAAATTAATAATTTTCTAATTAATTAATAATTTTCTTTCTTTTCTCACTTTAGCTTTGAATATCTTAATATTTTACTAATTTTAATTCTTAATTATCATGTATGTAATATTTTTTGTGATTATTCTTTTGAAATTTTACTTATTCTTGAATAAATTAGAAGAAATATTATGTTAAAAATAATTTATAATTAGCATAACAAGAAAATATTATATATAAAAAGTTAAGAAGTAATTAAGAATAATAATTAAGTTTGATAAAGAGAATTAGTTACTGAGTTAAAAATAGTTAATTAGCATTTTTCTTTAATAAATATGCATATTTTATTATATATCTTATTTTCTTTTCTTTTTGTTCTATTGAGAGAGTATTTTATTAGAAATAAATTTGAATAATTATCTTATTAAGAAGATAATCATAATTTTATTAGAAGTAAAATATATATAAATTATCTTATTGAAAAAATAATCAATTATATAATTTATTAAAATTATAAAAGTAAATAATTGTCATGAATATAATTATTCTTATTATTTTAAAATATTTATATATATATAAACTTAAACTAGTAATAGTATATATTATTAATGAAAATTATAACTTGATCTATGATTAATCTTAATTTGTTTTATAAAATCTAATGGTCTTCTTTCATTTTAAGATATATAATAGATATAGTATTTATTTGATATTTTTCAGTAATTATCAAGAACTTATAAATATTATTATATAAATTAGTAAATATATTTATATAATTATTAAAATATTAGCTTTATTATATTGCAAGTAAAAAGAAATGATGAATAATCATAACATAAATATTCTATTCTTTTAAAATATTTTCTTTACTCATTTCTAGTCTTATTTAAATATAAAAAATAATAAGCTTAAAGAGTTATTATTATATAATAAATTTAAAGAATGTGAAATTAGAATAATGTAAGTTCATAAATATTTATTATGTAAATATGCATAGTGAAAAACTTTTCACATATATCATGAGTTCATGCATAAAAAGTTCCATGATCTTCTAATTTATTATATAATATATTAATCGAACATCTGTGTTACACAATCAAAAATTTCTTGGGACAGGTTTGTCTTGCAATCATGTGATTTTTGTTTTTTTTTCTTGACAAGTAATCGGCATGACAATTTGTCATGCATAACTCAAGAATTTTTAGCGGAGTGAGCACATACATGAAGTGTCATTATTCCATAGTAGGTGCTAAAAATTTATGTGTCAGAGACACTAGCTCTGCTATTACTTTTTCAGATGAAATTCTGCATAACAGGACAAGATCTAACTTCTCTCATTTATTCCAGTGGTTGACTACCTACATCGTGCATACTAACATCACTGTCGTTTTGAGATAAGAATGTATTTAGCAAATTAGGTGTTAAATTATTGCCGGAGACAGCCACTTCATGGCTAGAAACGACATGGCCCTGATTTATTTCTGAAGAATTATTTTGCGCTCCATCTGTGGCCTCATAAGGTGGCGGTTGAAGAGATGATGTTTCGGTAGAGCCAGCATAACCAATATTTTGTTCAGGATTTTCCACACCAGGATTGTTTGTATTAGCGTTTATTATATCACGGGGTGGAGATGAAGATGCAGACCGTCTACGACTTCTTCGACTATCAATGGAAGTTCTTCGGCTTCTTCGATTACCTGGCAATATTTGACCTAATTCATGTTCAACTTCCCTAGTAGATGGTGCGGGTGTATTATTCCCCCCAATTCTACATTGTCTACGATTAGAACTATTAATGTTACGGATTCTATCAAAATTGTCTTCAGGCCTCTCCCAAAAATGTGTACGGAATTCATTAAAATATTGTACACCCGTTCGGCTTCTTCGTGCTCTTCAATTCCCTGCCATATAATCACACATCAACTAATTAACATGAATTATTAAGACGTAAGTTAGTAAAAAATCTGATCCGGATAAAATTTTTACTATGCCATACTTACATTGTAATCCCGAACAGGATTCATAAATTTTTCTTTACATTGATACCCATTAAAGCTCGTGTTATGTATGCTCTTGATTGATTCTGGTTGCAATGCTATTTCAAAATCTGATTTGGTTCCTTCCAAGATTATGATATTTCTCATTTCTATTTCTACGCTCATTAATAAGTATACGTATCTGAGTATCAGTCCATTCAACCATTTTTATTGCAGAGCAATGAGGCTTTGCCTCTACGATATTTGCGTTCGATAGCGTGAGCCAGCACAAGAGTCAGAGATTCGAAATTTTGTTTCTTCGTGCTAAAGATTTTGCTTAGTTTTTATAATAAGAATATTTCATGCACCATAACCGTACTTCAACATTACTTTAACCGCACTTTAACCATAATTATATTACGATATATTGTATGCTAGCTTTCCAGCTAAATATTTACCAACTGCATTTCAACCGCACTTCGACCATACTTTTTACCAGTGAAAATCTAAAACTCTAATTTATTATCTATGGACGATCTTGGAAGAGCTTCATAATTGGTGTGCATTTATAGCCAATCGGTGAGAAATACATAATATACTGATTATCAATCTAACTTCCCACGCTTCTTTTTTCCACGAAAGTATATGCTATTCGTCTTGAGTAGGACATCGGCTCTAGGAATAAAAATCCTAACGGCTCGTCGAATAGTGTCGCTTTTGTATCTCTTCATCTACTAATAATACACCGCGAGCTTTGCAATTATGTCGTTCGTTAACAAGCGAAAAGAAATCGTTATGCCAGAGGAAACACCGGCTAAGACAAAATTATCATGACAGGCTCGTGCGCGTAAAAACAAAAAACAAAGACGTGGGCAAGAAGAAATTGTGACACACAACGATCCTGGGGTTGATGTAAACTCCCTCACGAGATCCACGGAAATGACTTCGATAATAGATACTACCGATATAATTTTTGATCCGACTCGAGTAAAAATCGCCGTTAATTTTATATTGTCTTCTTTGCGCTTGATATTTTGTGTTGATAAGGCAGTTGTCTTAGTTATTTGTGCGGGTTCGTGGAACAGAACGGAGCCGTGACCGTCCTGTGCTTTGGCTAAGATAGTTTGTTTGTTCCTCAAAATGTAATCTTGTCGCTGAGTGGGTCAATCAAAGTCTGGTTTATACCAATTTACGAAAAACAAATATTTTGTAATTAAGCATAGAACCCAGTATGCTACTCGAGGCCTATGTATTCGTGATAAGGTAGACTATTTGGAAAAAGAATGGATAAGCACCCCTCTCACCTCTATGGATCGTAATTCATCGAAAAAAACTAAGACCCGTCAAGAAATTTCAACAAAAAATCTACTAGTCGAAACATTAATCCGTGAAGCAAGATCGGCTAATAACAATCCTCTCGGGTCACTCGAAGTCCCTCCTGATTTCCTAACGTTACTCGATACCGATATCATTAACGGGTTAGCTTGTAATGACTCGTGGAGCGAGGGTATTGATACATCCAAAACGTCTGTTGATGATTTGAATAAAAAATTGTGGATCGCTTTTGGACGGTGGTTGGGTTTGGAGGAACCAATTAAAAGACGACATGTACTACGTCACCTTAAAAATTTATGGGGAAAGCTTAGCCATGCTCTCGACCTTCAAGAAATTAAAGATCGGAAAGATATACCTGTTACAAACTGCTATAAATCGCTAAAATTCACTAAAAAACGCATAAATTGATATAAATCACTAATTTGGTAATAAATATGCCCGGAACAACTGTTAAAATTATTATAGACAAGGTTTTTAATAAATCCGTGCCTAAACCTGTTAATCTCCGTCATGGATATGATTTGGACTACGTAAAAAATTATCAAGCAAAATGTGGTTCTTATGATAAGAGGTACTCTGCAAACTTCGGATTGTAATTCGATCCGGACTCAAGTACCGTAATTCATTGCATAAACCACCCGGGGTCTGTTACTTTTCACCCGAATATTTAATTAGTAAAAAAAAGAAAATTATTAGTGAAAAATCACGTGGGGTCTACTATCATTGGGGATTACGGTATATTAAGTATATTGGTCTCTTACTTATTCAGATCACTGATCGAACCAAACGCGGAACCGGCAACTGTAAAATCAGTCATGTGCATTGATCGCCTAGTACCTATATACTGTATTTCAAAACGCGTGAAAAATACCATAATATCTTCCCTTATTTTATTTTTCTTTAGTGAAACTTTGGAACGTGACCTTAACAATATTTCTCTTGTTGACCCATCAAATTCATCCATAGTAACTATACTAGAAACAATGAGCGAACCGTTTCCAGGCTTTAAAGGTAGAAAAATCAAATTTAAAGTTTTATTTTTATTTGCAAAGCTCTGACCGACTTTTTTTCAGCTTTAGCCCCATATTTCGATAAGGACAGTACCGAATGGTCATATCCCAATTTTCTATATGAGATGCGAAACGTTATCTTGGATATCGAGCCATTTAATGAAGATTGGGGTGGACTCGACGGAACGTGGTATAAACGATATACGAAACTGGCAAATAATGAAGTATAATTTTTTTTACAAGACGCTTCTGGTTATTATTATATGCCATATAGAACGGTTTAGAGCTGTTATTATATGTCGTATAGAATGGTTCAGAAGTACGTTTGGGCGCTTCTGGTTGTTATTATGTCATATAGAACGATTCAGAGGTTTTGCTGAAAATTTTCGGTGCCCAAATGATGATGGTGGGGACGCTTCTGGTTGTTATTATGTTCATATAGAACGATTCAGAGGTTTTGCTGAAAATTTTCGGTGTCCACGCCATCAACCTTGTATTGTGAATTTATTGATATTATTTATGTTTTATTTTTTTTTAGATACATCCGCATCCGTCTATGAAAACATTTTTCGAAGATCTCATATTTGAACGTAAAAAGGTTGGAGTTGGTCCTTCTTAAAGAATTCTACTATCAATGGAAATTAATAGTCATTGATATTTACTATAGCGAACGGCTCAACGTAATTACGTAAAGACTAGTATTGAAGTGTTAGATGAAGCACGGACGTATGGCGCCCAAGAAATAATTTCAGAGATGCCAGAAGCTCTTAGAACGAAACGTTCTCTAACTGGTGGAATAGTTCCGGAATCATCAAAGAAAGTGAGTGACCATAGATGTTTGAAATAATGATGGCATGAAGCCATAAGTAATTCTCAATATTTCGTAACAAATAACTTATTGGAAAAATGTCTTCTCACCTTTTACATTTACAGTTTAAAACGACATCCGCGTCTGTTTCCTCCTCAACTGGTGACGAAAATGCGACCGATGATGATGGGCAAACAGCCGATGAATCCGAAGAAATTAATACCGAAAAAGCAGGAAAGGTAAATAGTTCGAATTATTCCGATACAATCTCTACATCAGATCAGGTAAGTACTAATTAATTTTCATTGATCATCATGATAATGCTTTTGATAAATCATTTTTTGTAATACGGTACAGGCAAAACCGTTTGGCGAGTCTCACTCAACATCTACAATTCCTACGACTCCTCCTCCTTCATCTCCCAATTATAAACAACCACGATTTATAACTAATAATGAATACATGGATATGGATTGGTCTCCCTGGCAGTTTGATGAAATTATTTGCGAAATAGATATCGAAGAAAAATTAATGGGCTTATTTTAGAAAGAAAAGAAAGCAAAGAAAAAATCGTCATTAAGTTATGGTATTATCGACCTGAATGATAGTAGAATCATGAATGTTTTGGGACAATCTGTAAAAGTTTATTTTGAAGAAAAAATGAAGAAATATAAACCACAAAGATCCGTGTCAAAAGAAACTTTGGAAACTTTGAAGTGTTTAAATGTAGTAAGTAATTAACCGAAACACAAAAAATAGATATTATTACTTATAATTAACATATTTAGACATCATTGTGGGAGCTTGGAAAAGCTCTTTCAAGTATCACCATTAATTACGAAAATCCAAATAGAGATACAGTATATTTGCGTAATTTGTTTAATAAATTGTAAGTATTAATTAAATGCAGTATATTTTTTATATTTTTGTAAAACATATTTATTTATCTTGTATTCAGTTTTTTTCTTTTTCAGGATAAGGGTATATTAAATCTAGATAGTTCCGAACTACAAGAAGGATGGTACAACAGCAACATCGTTGCGCCATTCTTTGACGATTGCTTAGCTTCACTTAATGATTGTATTCTCCGACGGTATGTTCTAAACAAAAGCTGCTGTGTTATCTTATATTGTATCTAGCTAATTTTGTTCTTGTATAATTTTGTATAATAGTGGTGAAGTCGCAAGCAAAGCACAAAAACTACTCGGAAATAAATCATCAAAAAAGCCAAAATATGACGGAGTCTTGCCATTTAATAGAAAAATCGAATTTATTTATGTGGAAACAGCAACCACATCGATCTTATCAAAAAGAGATATTGACTTGTCAAAATTGCATGAAGCAATAGCTATTATGTTCAAGTTTATAGTATCTTCATTACCAGAAAAAATTGTATACGAAATATCAGATTTACCCATCCTTTGCATTCAATTCTGCGGTAAGTAAAGCCATGTCTTAATTGTTAATGCAAGATCTTTAATAAACTTAATTTGTCACTTTACAGGAACAACAGCTGATGTATACCTTGCTAATTGGCCAGTTAAGATGCGTCCAGTTGTTTTTTCAATAATGGACTTTGACATTCCGGAACAAGTTGCATCTTTACCAAGTCTAACGAAATCGGCTGTAAGAATGTTAACATTACGGGTAATTATAATATCTATGCTCACTTATTTTATTCTGTTTATGGCTGATCTTTACTCTTTTGTAGTCATTAATTCAAGACCTCCATAAACGGTATCAATTATTATTAAAAAATATCTCAGATTATTATTTAGATAATGATAATAATTGGACATCCCCACTGAAACTGAAGACTAGATAATTATGTTGAAATTTTCCATAATAACAATTTTTTTCTCTTACATTGATGTGTTTGGTTTTATAAATTTGAAAAATAAAACTTTCTTGCTAATTGCGAGACAAATTTGTCTTAGTTATATGATTTTGACCATTCTCGATTTTATTCTAACTTTGAAATAAATATTAAATAGTAAATCGCAAAAGCATTTAAAGTTTCGAGTTTATTCAATGAGACCCCATTCTTGAAGATGTCCTGGAATAAGTATATATGGGTCTTCGTAATACCAAACATACCTTAACGCAATCTGGTTCTTTTCGCATAATTCTTCTTGTTTATCTTCTATATTTATAATTTTAGTTTTTGATTTTGAATAATAATTCTTTGTAAAGTGATCTGATTTATTATAGTTATAGTATATACTCTTAAACTTATTATTCTTTTAAATATTATTCTTTTAAATATTATTCTTTTTATTATTATAATAACTTTCTGCTTGATCAAGTTTCTTTGATATTGAATTATTATTTTAATAACTTTTATATTAATTTTGTGAGTAATAATTATTATTATTATATCTGCTTGAGAAGTATATTGATCTGTCTTATTTATATATAGTTATATTAAAGTAAATAGCTAGTTTTCAGACTTTTTTTAAGATTTTTAATACTTGATAATTAACTTTTATTTTAATAATGAATTTAAAATCTTTTATAAAATATATAACTTGATTTAGATCACTTATATTTATTATTCATTTCTGAATTTAGTATTATAATCTTGTATTAAATTAGTTTAATAAAGAAAATATAGTTATCTATAAAGATATTATTAATAATATGATAATTAAATATATTTTTAAGTACTATTACAAATATTTTACAAGTTTTAAATAATATGATATTATTATTAGTCTTATATTTATTTAGATATTAATGTAAGGCTATATCAATAAAAAAGATAGTAATATATTATACTTATATATATTTATTAGTAATTTCTTATGCTAAGAAAACTATTTTAACTTATAAAATTCAAATAAATATATTTTTATTTAACTCTCCTAAGTATGTAGATAATTTAATTAAAAGATAAGATAAAGACTTGAGATTAAAGATAGCTTCTCAACTATTATAATATGATAATAAATAAAGTATTATCTAGTTGCAATTAATTATGTCATAAAATTTTGGAATTATAATATATTATAATAGATGATAAATAAATATTACATACTTGCTATGCCATCTCTACTTAAGATCAAAGAAACTATCTTTTTTTACTATTTTAATAAGTTTAGTTATGCTTTATATAAATTATTTAAATTATTTACTATTTATCTTGATTATATTTTTACTAAAATTAAACTAAATATATATATATATGTAATATATATAATATATAAAGTATAAGATATTAAAGAATAATATTTATAATAACTATATCTACTGTTATTAAGTTATAAGATTATTTTAAAATAATTATAAATAAGATAAATATGATATGAATAATTTTAATTTATAATTTATAATTTTTATTATTTAAAGAGTATTCAAATTTAAGATAAAAATACAGAATATAAAGGATATATTTATAATAAAAGAAATAAATATAAAATATAAATAAATTAATAATATTTTTATTTTAAAATATATGTATATTGAATATAATTAATTAACTTAATTTATATTTTCAGAGGGTAATTAATTATAATTCAATAATTAATAATAATATAAATAATAATATAAATATAATAAATAAAATTATAAAGAAATATTAATAATAAAAATAATTAAAAATATTAATAATCTAAATTAATAATTATGATATACATAGTGATCATCTAAATAATAATGTGTTAAATCTAGATATATTAAATATATAATAATCATTAAAGATGGTAGTTATAATTATTATATTATAATACTTATATTACAATTATATGTTGTAATTTATTAAAAAATTTAATAAAAATCACAACTTGTCATAACTTATCACAAGTTGTAACTTGTCATAACTTACCATAACTTACTGCAACTTACTATAACTTATCATAACTTATTATAACTTATCATAGCTTACTATAACTTATTATAATTTATTATAATTTATTATAATAATATTTTAAAGAATATATTTATAAATTTTCA